AAATAAATAAATAAATAAATAAAATAAATGTTAAACCTTTAAAATACATTAAAATCTAAAATACAATAAAAAGGACAAGAAACCATGCGGTAAGCTAACTAAGATTAAAAACTAAAATAAGAATTAAAATACTACTAACTAAGGTTAAAAATGGTTTAATAAAAACTGTTTCAGTTTGTATTTAAAAATAGTTTTCGGCATGTCTACTCACTTTATCAGACCACTCTCAATAAAAACATCAGCTTCAATCATATCATCATCATTGACTACAATCCCACCCTTTATAAGGATGCGGTCTTTCTGTGCCTAACAAAAAAGAAAAAAATTTAAAATAATATCATAAATACATGTACAACTGCTTCAACTGTATATACATGTAATATTTGTAAGTAATAATTTTACCAGTGCCAAGTTGTATGATATACCAAGCATTATTTGTAATGTTGCAGTATCTTAGTCCTGTAACAAAGTCATAAAGCATCCCTTAATATATGGCAAAAAAAGATCTTGAGACACAATAAAAACCAAGGTTAAAACTGATCAAAAATTATTCCTTCATAAAATGCTCCAGTAACCTTCATCTGTAAAAATTCTAGTCTTTTTATCATTCTAACTGAAAACGTGAACTAAAGTGACTAAGACAATTCAGGAACTTAGAATAACTCTAGTTTTTTTGTACTATTATTGCAAATATGCCTGATTACAGCCATAGCACTTTTTTAAAAAGATTTTATTACATTGTAATTCTGAAGATAGATTTATACATGCAAATGATTAAGAGTACATAATTATGTACAGTATGACAAGATTGTGGAAAAATAGATGTCAAATGAATTGATCTCAAATTGTCCACATTGTTCATACTTGCTCTTTCATGGAATCTTCTCATTAATTTTGTATATGATACTACTGTTTTTAATCCATCAAATATTTTCGCTTGCACACGATTAATCTGAACGCGTCACGTGACTGAATACATGTATGCCCCAGCTAAAACTGGGGAATTTCCAAGTGATATTCCACAATTTTTGTGTTGTGATAAATATTTAAAGGATAGTAAACACAACAGCCTCCATTTGACTTTAAAATATGCTCAGATATTTGTCCTTGGACATTACTGCACCTGTCCCTTGAAGGTCACAGTTTCCCTCGTGCTCCACTCTCAGAAAACTGTTCACTTCTCGGAACAGATAATGTCTGTGGACAAAATATCTGAGCATATTTTCCCACCAAATGGAGGCTATTGTTTATATAAAATCTACAGCTGTATCTGTACATGTACATGTAGCACATGGATTTTCAAAAACACACTAATATTCAGTACAAATGAATGTCACGTGTGTCATTGCAAAAGCCATTACCTCCCTACACTAAAGTCCTCCCTTTGAATAAATCGATCCTTTGAATGCTATATAACATGTGTAACTTTTAATTTATGTAATTGACTTGTCAAGATCAGTGTAAAGTCTGTTAAAACACCTTCAGTCATGTATATTTATTCTTTTGCTAATCCTTATTAAAAGGCTGCATTAGCCTGTATTGTGTAAGTACAGGTGTTCTTTCACTTAAGGGACTATGCAGTCACAATTAACGCTTTTTTGTTGTACAATCTACTCTAATTTACTGGTAGCTGCCAAATAAATTTTAAAACCAAAGCTTGACGTTAACTGTGACAGGTTATAAATTGTCAAGATCAGAGGCAAGTGGAGAAAGATGAAAGAAGAAAGAGCAGTACATGCAGAGAAGGAAGGAAAAACAGAAGGAGACAGACAGAGAGAGGCCAGATGGAAAGAGGGAGGGAAGACATGGGTTATAATTTAATAACAGGAAGAAAGAATAATCCATAATTACATTTAACAAATAGCATGCTGCATGGGTTGAGGGTAAATTTGGCAGTAAAAATAATGCGCAACAGCTGCATGAAAGAGGGATATTCACTTTCATCTGGAGACTACAGATTGCTTTCTGAGCGGTTCAAAGGAAATTTTTGAAAAAAAAAACAAAACAAAATAGAAATTTATCACTACACTGCACACATATTATACAGTATGACTGTAGTAAGAGAAACCAGGTTGTTTTGAAGGGATCCACAATTTTACATCGTTTTCAAAAAAAATGTGGTTCCATGCTCATCATAATTTGCAACAGGACAGTGACTGTCAACAACAATGTACAGTAACCACTTTGATTTACATGAAACTTGCCTCTCAGCTCAATACTATGTTGACTTTATCTTGATTTTTTTTCTTTTTGTCTTTTCTTGTTAAACTACTACATGTACATGCAGGTGTGCTTGGGCACTGCAAGGGTTTTACCCTGTAATCAAAATTAGTAAGCTACAGTATGTTGATATTTTAGCTTTGATAAATATTATGCATGCACATGTAGTAATCAAAAGAATATGGTCACAAGCAATTAACCTTATCAAAACTGTTAATCAAAATGAATTACAGTGTGACTAACTTATAGATAACTGACGAACGAGCTTGAAAAAGCTTGCTTTGGAGTTTGAACCCAACGTACTTTAGGCTTTCTTTTCAAGATTAGAAGACAGAAAAAAAAATCTTTCAAGCTTAAGCTTAATTAAGCTACATGTAAAGGTTAGACGAAATTTTTCATACTTCGAAAATACAAAATTCGAGGTAAAAAAAAAGCTCACATGGAGCTCTTGTTATGTCAGAACATGAATATTTTACGGATTGTCAAGAAATTAGCATGTGACTGAACGTTGAGAGGTCATAAATTATAGATTTGCAGTAAAGCCATTATTTGAATAGAACAATACGCAGCAAAATCTAAATAATTTATAACGTTGAGCGTCTAGCTCTGAAAAGGGTTTTGAGGTGAAAGCCATTTAAACCACATACTGTTCTAAAAGAGGAAGAAATTCCCCTGTTATCTCCGTGGATCTTGAAAGAATTCATCGCCTTGCATCTTAAATCTATACGCATACCGTGTAGGAGTGAAATGCAAAACAACAGACTTTTGTAGCAAGTGCAAACGGACGTTGTTGTTTACAAAAGATGTATTAAAAGTTATTGAAGAACACAGACAAGTTATTTTTTATGGCATCATAATTCGAAATCGTACGCTAAACAGTAATTTGCGGTATCACAATTTCCAACAAGACACTTCCGACTTTTAATATACAAATTCGTAGCGAGGGTTCCATTTGCAAACGCGTTGAGGGTTTTTCATTGACAAGCTGTAACACCTTCGATTTGCGTCCTGTAGCCTTGATCTCAAGTTAAAGCCTTGGGTTACATTTCCCTAAGGATTTAGCCATATCACCTTAAAGCTCAAAATCCACATACAACATTAACTCACCATTGCTGAAGCCATTTTTGAGCAGCCCTTGCACCTTCTTGTCCGACAACGGTAGACGTGGAGCAGAAAACCGCGCGATTGCGAGACTGAACGCGTGGGATTGTGGGGTCGTCCGGCGGAGCTTGGAGAGAGAGTCTTTCTGCGTCACACAACGCGCGTGACAACTCGAAGCTCGCGCGCGCGTTGTACTGTTCTGAACTTCAGTGACATCATTCGTAAACCGTTTATAACCGTCACATTGAAAATGAAAGGCATCAAAATCAATCAGCAGAGAAGCATAGCCGTATTATATATACTAAACTTTAAAAGGAATCTCTCATATTGCATTTATCAGGAAGGTGTACAGATTCAACACAAGGAATAGAAAAAAAAAAAAAAGAAAAATGAAAAGCCACCCATCGATTTAGGTCTAACAACGATGCAAGGGTAAGATGTAGAATTTTAAATATCAAGGTAGGGCTAAGGGAGTCTCGAAGTCCCGACTCGTTTTCAAAATGTTTTCCGTCCACACGAAAAGGAAAAGCCGGCTTTTTCAAATTTACCGGCGTTGTTTGGCCCTTGGTTGTGTGGACGCGGGTGTGGACGCTGCCTCAAATATGTTTTCTGATTGGAGGACATGTCACGTGTCATGGGTCAAAATTCACTAACTCCCTAGGGCGGAAAAAACTCACTAACTCCTTAGGGAAACAAAAACTTGAACTTTCGACTCGCAAGTGACCAGGTCGTGAAAGTGTGCCAGCCGGCGTCAAGCAAACAATTTTTTGCAATTTGTTCTATTTTTGATTTGGGACGAGTATAACAAAATACCGGCTGAACTGACCCTGACTGACTGGACTGGTATAACAAAACATTGACTGGCCCCACGGGAGACGGTGAGTATATCCGAAAATTGCATCTCATTAACAAATGGAATGTAAATCATGACATCTTACCTGTGGGAGGGGGTGAAACGGTTTGTCGATCTATACAGTTTGTAGGGATGATAAAGACCGCTTTCGGTCCATATACGGTCCGAAAATTGAGGGGACATCTTATCAGAGAGGGGGTGATACGGCTTGTCAGTCACGAACCAAAAACAGTCCTTTACCCTGCTTTACCGTCTGTTAAACTGTACGGATAATGAAGCTTTACTTTCGCACCGTATCAGTTTGTGTGTATAATTTGCACATGACTAGAACCTCCGAGACTCAAAGTAAACACAGAGCACCAGCGCCAAAGACGAAAACTCGCAAATTAACAGTGTTGCTATAACTTCTGTTTCTGCGATTTGCTATTTAATTTACAACCAATTACAGAGCGTAGTAGAACGTATACCGAAACACTATTCCAGTTTACAAATTGACGTCAGTTTTTCATGCGTCTCTCCTGTTATTGATTATGAATTACGTCATAACATTGTCTAAATAGCTGTGGATCCACGAGGCTGGATTCGCAGACTACTTTGACAATGCTACGACGAAATTCATTGTCAGCAATAGGACAGACGCATGAAAACCTGACGTTAATTTCTTTTTACGATAACAAAAATTGTCAAATTGTCCGCTCTCGCTCGTTGCCGCATTGCATAAATTATAAATTCATGTGTCTGTCTGCTTATTGACGGTGAAAATTAGTTTATGAGCGCGCGAGAATTTCTGAAGTTATCGTAAATTACTTTCGACAATTATTTGGAGACCGCACTACATCAGCCTGCGCTTTCAGAATGCACGTGCAGCAGCGCTAACGTAAACAATTATATGATATCTTTAGAGCGCGGGTTTCTAAGGCAATTATTTCGTTTGTTTGTTTGTTTGTTTTTTTTAGCATTCAGGAAACTTCTTAGGAGTTTACTACTGTGCCCGGAACAGATAACAATGGAAGCAATTGGTTGTCTTTGCGAGGACAGTGAAGACTGTACAACGATAGCAAACAGAACTGACGAGTCTGAGGCAAACCTAACTGATGGCGATTTAAAAAGCAACAGTGAACACGACTTTCAATCTTTAAGGACCAAGCTACGTTTATTGGAACGTTCCCTCGAAGAGCAACGAGTTACCTGTAATTACCTGAGGGAGGAGAGGAACGAAGCCCTTACTCTCAATAGCCTCTTGAAACGCGAGATCGAAGACCTCCGCAGGGAGGTACACACTGGAAGTACTCGGCCTTCTCCTGAGCCACGACAACATGAACAAAGCAGAAACTATAACACAGGTATGGCGCATGGTGTTATTGTTACCCATGTCCTTGCACTGCTTTTGTGTTTTTTAAATCTGTATTAAGACCCTGTTAAGGAAGATCAACGCGGATTGAGGCCTATGTACTATACATGCTATACGGGGGCGGCTCTGCCCGAAAGCAGTCTTTTTAGTTAATTTCAGGCTGGAGGTGTATAAAATGGCAGAGTATTCACAAGTTTAAGTATAGAAACAGGCAGGAAAAACTTTCGTTTAGGCAGTTAAAAGAACCAGCAGGCATATTAACGACGAAGAGGCGCGAAGATCTTTTTGGGGTTTATAATTAACTATTTTTGGATTTTCGACCTTTCTTAACGGAAAGTTTTTCAGGAAAAATTTTAGGATTGGTAAAGGCGTACTGTAGGTATGGGAAAGGGGCACCATTTTCTATGGAAGGAATATAAACGGTTACCTTTTCTGTCAAAAATGTTATTTAAAAAGGTAAGAGTTGGGACTTCGGAGACTCCTTGTAGCTAGAAAACGTTTCTGAGTGCCCCCCCCCCGCCAAGTAGGGATCGAAGCGTGTTTGTGGCCTTGTACTTAAGCAACACTTATCACCCTCAATGTCTGGCTATGTTTTCACCTGGGCATGACGAAGGGGTTTTTTTGTTGTAAAATTTTCTTAAATTAACATCTTCGTCAGCCATTTTTTTTCTTTTACACTGTTCTCCGGATTTAGCTGTTTTTGCACAATTTTTTAGGGAAAATCCAGAGAAACCGGATACCTGCAGATCTTTTATTTCTCAAACAATGTATCACCGGTATCAAAGACTTGGTACTCATAGGATAATAGGATACCCCCTCTTGAGGACAGTAGATATAGCTTCTGATTGAATAATACCGAATATTGGAAAAGGCAAATAGAAAATGGGTCAGAAAAATCTCTTAGAAGCTCATTCACAAATCAGCCGACCTACATTGTTTTGGGTAGTCACCGACCCTGAGTAAAAGTTTTGTCGTAGTCCGTTCATAACCGGCTTTGCTTTGCGAAGCAGTTATATTATCTCTGTTCTGCTTTGTGCACATAAAACAAAAGTTTATGAGAAAGTTTTCGTCTTCTCTGATGGAATTTACGACATGTGCCTTGAAAACGATGAAGCCTTGAATAAACAATGTTAATAGGCTCCCGCCATGCGTGAGAAAGTTAGATAATTTTGTATGTATATATTTTTTCCTTTCATATCACAGGTCCACTAGTTAAAGACGAGACCGTGGTCGCTTTTGTACTTGCTTTACCGAGGAAACTAGTGCGTGGACTGGTGAATAGAGCGGCCTTGTTTGTATGGTGGACAGGAGCCTGGGCCAACGAAGGTGATGTCTTTTTGAGAGTATATTTGTGTGTGTTTTATAAGCCTTGTAAGATCCAGCCACTGCTCCCATATATATATATATTTATCTGGGGCTGGGGTTTAAGATCGAGCAACCTTTGCAGGTTCAGCTCTGGAGTAAAACGACGCCTTAAT